CATCGAGTACGTCAACATTTTCAACTTTCAAGAACTAATCACCATGAGCAGAGTATACAAATTCCTATGATTAGAAGATCGATGATATATATAAATGACCTATCAGTTAAAATTGCTAAGATTATCGAAAGGAAAGTAGACAATTTAAAAATATCCTTTAAACCATTTGCACAAATTCAAACAACTATATATACCAAACTGAAAGATCGTATTGAAACGAACAACATTATTAATTGCATCTATGAAATTCCATGCACTGGAACTGATAATAATGGTCAAAAATGTGAACTCTGCTATATTGGCCAAACAAAAAATCAATTACATAAAAGAATAAGTCAACATAAAAATAGTCTAAAACAAATTAATCCGGATAAACAATCAGCTTTAGTCTCACACTTTCTTGATGTAAATCATTACCCAGATTTTACTTCAGTGAAAGTCATTGATACTGAACCTTCCTTGTCTCGACGTCTTACCCTAGAGTCCTTACATATAATGACTAAACCCACATATAATTTGCGGCGAGATATAGAAAATATTTCTGTTGTTTACTGTGCATTGCTAGAAAAATCATTCTTAAGATAAACTGATTGTATATTCTCCGTTGTAATTATTTTAAACATTTGTCAAAAATATTTTTTATATACAAATTTTATTCTATTCAGTTGTTTTAAAATTTTTTCCCTGATGATGGTTTTAAAAAACCGAAACGTCGGAAATAAATATTAAATAAGTAAAATAATAAGAAAAATTTTTTATTAAAAAACCAAATTACAAAATCTGACTGATAGCCCAACACTCATTTATAATAAAACCTGACTTTAAGCTTCAAATTTGGCAGAGCACAAGTTCAACTCTTGATATTATCAGTCTTAAAAATTTATTTACGAATAAATAAATATGAGAAATAATTCCAAGAACACTGTTGGGAGTATTTAGTAATTTTCGTAACAGCCGTGTGGTCAGACAAAAGTTCAATTACTCAAAAATTAATTAAAATATTTGTTGTTGCAATTCAGTACTATTTGATACCTCTCTATTATAAATTCATTTAATTTTTTTGCTGACCAATATTAAAAATAAAACGTGTTTTTAATTTAACGGCTATTACTGCGTTATCAACTTTTCTAAGTTTCTTGACTTACTCAAATAATAATTAAAATAATAATAAAAATCTAAACAACTAAAGTAGTAAAATTTTTGTTATTATATTTTATTGGTGTTTACTTTTTTTAATATTTAATTACAAAAATAATTTTATAAATTTCCTGAGGCTCTAATGACTGTGGCATTATACTTTCTAAATGAGTAATTATTTTTGCGTTCATTGATTATAGTTCTATACAGAAAATATAAAACTTCATATTGTAGTTGTATTATTTAAGATACGTCATATAACGGTTATAACTTATAAGTCAACGAGATCTGTAATTTATGTTGTTATTTTTGTTTTAACCCACTGGGATTGTATAGTCCCATTGAGAGGTGGTGAACGGTACTTGGTCGTCGAAATTTACGAGTGATTCCGGTTCGTAGACCCGACCAGTCTTTGAACCATCTGTAATTTAAAGGGTGAACTACTATTCTTCAGAATACAGAACTACTATTCTTTGAAGTACTATAACTTAAAACTTGTCTTATTTATCACTTCGACTGGACAATCTCTAAGACCCATATATTATGTAGTTCGTGTTAAAGCAGAACGATATGTTTGCTCAGCTATAATTGTTAATTTAAATTGTAATAAAACAATTAAATATATCGCAATTGTTGAAATTGTCTGGAATAAATATATAAAAAATTTATATATATACATTCATTAATGCATATTTTGATAATATTACAGCTGATATAAGTTCGCGATTAATTACGCTATAGCCTTGTAAGCTGACCACTGGCGGATTTAATTCTATTGCTAATATAAAATAATCGATTTCTTGTTGTGCATGAATGTCAATACGCAAAAGATCTACTTTAAGTAGAGTATTTTGTATGCCATGGGCGATTACCGATGTAGCGCTATTAGCACAATCACAAACAATGAATAGCAAACATGCACAATATATTGTCAGCACGATTAATCCCAAAACTTTGAAGGAAAAACCAGAATCAAATATTTCTGATAAAGATCCATATGCTCCAATTATTATATTGATAGACCTAATACATAAAAATTTAAATAATAATTAGTATGTTTATTAGAAACATATACACAAATTTATACACACATAAAGAGTAGATATGTGGAATAAGTACGGGCATAGGCGTTACCGAAGGTTTGAAAAATTTCACTTAAATTTAACCACAGGAGCCTGTACTGTGTTATTAAGGTGGATGTACATTCAACTTTAATATCCTTGAAATTAAGACAAATAGTTCATATAAAAATAATAAAAATCAATGGTATTTAATAGAGCATACTCTTTTAAAACAAGCCGATAAACTGTGAGATGCTCTCTTAATAGCCCTCGAGTTGATGTAAAATAGAGCTGCATTCATATTGATCATTGTGATTATATGAAAATAAGCTATTGTATGCCAAAGCAAGAAACCTTAAAACAAATTAATATAAATACTATTATTTTTCTACCTAGTTACTGAGTTTATTTACCATCAAGTAATCGACTGAGACTATAAAGGAACATGACAGCTAGTAATACGCAACCAATGAAGAGCACAATGATAAGAAAATTAAGTTTTGGGAAGGTGAGCGTTGTGCCAGTCACGCGATAATAACGAACCTTTAAAGTAAAAGATGGAATCGGTGTATATACTACATTCACAGTATAATAATATTAAAATATTAAATATATTATATATTGATTTAAACACTCTTTAATATATAAATGGTACTACCTGAAAAGAACCCCACATAGTTTTGTAGTGTGCAACTTGATTAGCGACACCCCAGCCGACATATGGTATCCAAAAATGCGGCACGAGGAATATAACAAAAATCACACCATAAATGTACTCATCAAATTCTTCAGTAGTTTGTATGAATTTAACACGTTCATAGCCAACTCGTAGTACCAAAGATGAGGTAAATATATAGAGAAAAAATGCATAAATCATCTCGTAGGACTTCCAGCTAAAAGTCACAATACCAGGTGCTGAGCGTACTACTGGCATAACTCCCAGAATAACGAACAGCTTAAGTAGCAATTGATGATCGCGATAGAACTACCCGTAAAATATATTTGGATTAATGGATACTATCAGTTCATATTACATTAGTAGTTGTACTTGATCATAAATGTCTGCAGTTGTTCCATTGCTCGACTTCAACTGATTACGTGTATCCCTGTTCCGATTTCGTTCCAATAATTCCGGATTTTTGAAGTTATGAAAAGTAGTCTTTTTGTTTTTATGTGACTTTAAAATGTAATTCATGTCCTCTTGCAGCATTGTGGATTGAAGAGCCTCTTCGAATTCTGACTCCGCGATGGATATCATTTTACCGAAAACAATTTGAGCTCCTTATACCTTCAATCATAAATACTTACTGATATGTTTTCATGAATGAATTTAGATTAAATTTTTGTAATTGTTTAACCATTAAATTGTGATTAACTCTAATAGGCGTTTCCATAACTGAATATTTTATAGTTTATAAATATTCGTGTGTAGGCCATCTTTTTATCTATTGTAAAGTGTTTGTCAAAGTAATTAATTGTCTACCAAAGAAGTTACACTCACTTTTATAATTTAATTTCAAACAGTCGTTTTTATACCACAAAGATGTCAGTTAAGAAAATTTAATATTAAATAATTAAATTATCTATGAAATAAAATAAAAAATGAGTTTAATCTATAAACCTACATTATTTCATTTAAAATGCCAACTTTAATATTCGAAATCTCATTAAGGAATACCACTTAGTGATATTAAAACCTTTACATTTTTTAATACTTTTTGACTGATCAGACATAAAGAGACACAACTCCCTTCAAACCACCTTTAAGGAATAAATTGAGAGTATGATTCTAGGTCTTGAACCGCAAAAATAAATGACTAAAATACCATTTCAGTAATTTTGGATGGAAATGGGAGATCAATAGAGGTAATATTTCGCAAACAAACTTTATATAAGTTAGAAAACAAAGAAATCTGTGCTATAATGGAGAGAATTGCCTCTGGGTGAAGAAGTTGAAGATAAGCAAGGTTGTGGACAAAATTGATTTTAAATTTTGGGTCAAAATGAGTACGATTATACAGAGACGGCAGAGGAGCACTGACTTGGACCTCATTAAAATGAGATTTAATAGGCTAAAAATTAAGAAGACTAGTATTTCATAGCTGGAAGCAAATTAAGCGATACGATGTCCACCTAAATCATGTCAGGAGCGACACAACGAATTTCTTAGCCAGGAAAAATAAAAAATCATCTATATGAGCTACTTTAGAAGTGATTTATTTATATAGAATGGAGTTTGGATGGCACTTAGCATCAGCTCAGTGCTTAACTTGACACAATCAACACGAAAAGTTGAAGAACTTTCCTTTCACATGCCTGAATCAATTCCATATAGTGGGATATAATTCTAAACCAGATTAGGTAAACATAAAAAAAAGGTAGATCCATTGCTTTTATTTCTTAAGTATTATATATTCCAAGTAATCTTTAAGTTGTTTGCACATACGGGACTATTGTAACTCGTTCGAATACCAGCGGCTACAGAACTATATTGAAATAAATGGTGAACATTAAATACAGATAATATTTAATCTTGAATAAAGAAAAGTAGAGTTTCATGTGTTCGTCTCTTACAAATGTGCTCCCATTAAATTATTCTTACATACATATATAATAATAATATCAAAAAAGCCTGTTTTTAAGGGCAGTATACATAGAACAAATAATCACTTTGTCTCTAATAATATTTATATAAATAAAAACATGTTTGTATTTAATAGATTCAGATATCTTTAATTAATCCATAACAAATCTATAAATAAAATATGAATATAGGTTTTCGTTATAAAGGCATGAATAGATTACTGTTGGACACTGTTGGATTGATCGGTGATATGTTTGTTTTTAGGCTTTTCCTTTATCCAAACTAAATTTGAATTGAATTAGTATCAGAAGATAAATAGTGATTGTTCCAATGCTCTAAAATAGTATGAAAGTGAAAAGTTTAAGTTCCTATTAAAAATTAAAATAAATTTATAAAAAAAGTCATTAATGAATTAAAATTATATGTACTCTAAACTTCTATAATACGTTCTAATTCCACAAACATTTTCCCGAAAAAGTTAATATCTCTTTTAATTGGTTAATTTTAGCAAGCAACATTAAACCAGTCATACTTTCTCGTATTTTTTCTATTTCTCTTACTTGATTTTTATATTATCTAGATCTATATATATATAAATATATACATACCGATGTCAGAAGTTCCCGATTTACATTGACATAACCCTTTAAGCTTACGATAGCTGGATTCATTTCAATAGCAATAATAAAATGATCAATTTCATTTTTAGTCTCTCTATCGCAATGTTCTAAATCTATAGACAATAAAGTTTTCTGAACACCCCTAGCAACGCCAAGGGTAGCATTATGAGAGCAATCACAAAATATAAACAATAGCATAGAACAGTAGACTCCATCAACAATCAAACCCAACTCTTTGTATGATATCCGGAATCCTTCTTTGTGATCCATGATTTCAGCAAATGCACCATAAACTGCTATTACAATATTTACGAACCTTAAGACAGAAGAATTAATAGGAAATTTAAAATGATATAAAAGTTTTTATTCGTGTATATCTTTATAATAACTTACATAAAAATACAGTAAGTCGAATAGGTTCTTGCATAGGCGTTTCCGAGAGACTGAAGTAATTCGCTTAAATTGAGCCATAGAAAACGATAGTTCGAGATAACTGTGGCTGAGCATTCCTTCGACATATCCTAAAAATGTTTTAAAACAAAAACCAATAATAGATGAAATAAAATTAAAAGAATAATAAAAATAAAAGAAAATAAGTGTAGTTAAACTGATAACTTGAGAGCAATATTTAGTCATTACAATGAAATCGGACATTTTACCGTCAGGAGAGGTTGACTAACGATTAGTGTCTCTTCGAAATAGTTTTCGTTATATACCAATATATTGTATTTTATTCAGCTTTATTAAAATTTTTAGAAAGTCATAATCATATATCTTTTTTTATTATATCTTTATATATCTAATTATAATTATAATTATATAT